ACAATCGCCGTTTTTTGTGGGAGTCCATTTCTCGACACTATGATGCTGGCTACCCTGCTCTGGTTGGAGGTGACTTCAACTATTGCCTTAGCCAAGCCGACAAGAAGGGAGGCAAACCATTCACCTTTTCGGCGGGATCATTGGATATGTCGGAGTTTATGGCTAATTTGGACATTTATGATTTGGGCTTTGTGGGTCCCAATTACACTTGGTCGAATAACAAGGATGGGTCTAGTCGGATTTGGGTCCGTCTGGACCGGTGCTTAATGAATTCGGAGGGCCTAAAGTGTGCGCCATTCGCGACGGTTCGGCACATGAGAAGGATTGACTCCAATCACACTCCGTTGCTTATAACCCTCTCCCCGTGTGGCTCTTCGCGAGGGGAGAAGTTTGTGCGGTTTGAGGATGTCTGGACCACCTACCCAGCTTCGTGGCGGGTGGTTTGGCAGCATTGGTCGTGCAGGGACTTGGGGGATCCGGCTGAGGTTCTCAACCGAAAATGACAGCGTACTCTGCGGGCCATCTTTCATTGGAGTCGGAGTCGTATTCGGGGGTTGACGGACCAGAAGGCAGCTGCTGAATGCCGTATCTTAGAGCTGCAGGAAATTGACTGCACGCCGGGTGGACTCTCGGCCGATTTGGAGATGGAGTTGAGGCGTAAGGTGGGGGAGCTGAACGATGTTTTGACTCGACTCACTATCTGGTGGAGACAATGCGCCAAGGTGAGGTGGATTGAGGAGGGTGATGCAAACTCGCACTTTTTAATGTCGCTTCGACTAGCCATCGGCGTGAGAACCGGATCCTGTGCACCCAGCGGGCGGATGGGCAGCGAGATTATGATGTTGACCGTATCCATGAAGCTTTTCTGGATTTCTTCCATGCCAAGTGGAAGGATCGTAATGCGTGTCTGCTCAATTGTCCTGGTTTCGAGGAGCATGATAGGATCCCTGATCAGTTCCGCGAGACCTTGGTGGCTGATGTCTCGGATCTTGAGATCCGGACGGCTGTTTATGGTCTCGGTAACAATCGGGCGCCGGGACGCGATGGTATTTCAGCGTCTTTCTTGAAGTTTTATTGGGAGATCATTAATAGAGATGTCATTGCAGGGGTGCGGGATTTCTTCACCACTGATACTATGAATGGTAATTGGAAGGAGACTTTGATCATTCTTCTTCCAAAGGTGGACAATGCTACTTCGCCTTCCATGTTCCGCCCGATTAGCTTATGCCAAACTCTCTATAAAGTCACGGCCCGGATTCTTGTTAGTCGGATGAAGCCGATCCTGGCTAGGGTGGTTGGGGAGGAGCAAGGGGCCTTTGTGCCGAGCCGCTCCATCTCCAACCATGGATTAATTGCGCAGGAGATTATTTGCCACTTCCAACACTCCACGAAGCAGACTGGTATGATGGCGCTTAAGGTGGACATGGAGCAGGCGTATGACTGTATGGCCTGGGATACGCTTCGCCAAGTGATGAACCTCATGGGCTTCCCGACGCGGTTCACTCAATGGGTAATACATTGTATTTCTTTCCCTAAATTTCAACTGCTAATTAACGGTCGCAGGAGTGATTGGATCGATGGCTTCAGTGGATTCCGGCAGGGTTGCCCTCTGTCGCCCTATCTTTTCATCCTTTGCTCAGAACTACTCACCAAGGCTTTTCGACAAAGGGGTGGCACCATCGGCGTCCGGGTGACGAAGGAGGCTCCTGTGGTCTCCCATCTATTGTATGCGGACGACATCTTGGCCTTTGCGGAGGCAAGCGTCCTTTATGCCAAACGCATTGGGGGAGTCCTGGATGATTACTGCCGTTGGACGGGACAACGCATATACTCCGCTAAGTCGGCGATACTATTCAGTAAGAGCTGCCCGAGGTGGAAGCAACGTAGGATTGCTAATTTGCTGAAGTTTCGGAGGGTGCAATCACTTGAATATCTTGGCCTCCAGCTGGCCATGCGCAAGCTGGTGGCTTCCAACTTCCCTAAGGTTGTGAAGAATGCGATGGGTAAAGTTAATAGTTGGGGCAGACGCCATCTTTCGCTGGCGCGGCGTGCCACGCTGATTCGCACTTCCTTACTCGCCGTCCCTATGTATCTTATGACTCACACCACTCTTCCGCGAAGTATTCTGGTGGCTATTGAACGCTTGGCCCGAAGATTTTTGTGGCAGAAAGACAATGCTAGCCGCGGTATTCATTATGTCAGATGGGAGGAATTGTGCCAGCCCACGGCTAGTGGCGGACTGGGTTTCATGCTTCGGTGGAATGGACGGGGCCACTTCGAGCTCAGCTTGCTTGGGATATTGTCCATAATTGCAACTCTCTCTTGTGCCGAATCATCACAGCAAAATACGGTTGGGATCTGTGGCGTCCTCGGACGGAGAGAAACACGTCGGTCACTTGGAGGATCCTTCAGGATGGTGCCGAGGCTCTCCGTCCAATCTTGAGATGGACCATTGGCAATGGGGATCATGTTGATGTCCTCAATGATGTCTGGATCGGGAACCTTAATTTGGCAAGGTGGCCTACCTTTTTTAAGGTGGAGGCCTTAGATGGTCAAACGGTTAGCTGTCTCCTTGACGAACACCATAATTGGAATCGGGATCTTATTCGGGATTGCCTCGGGGAGGAATTTGCCAACCGGGTGTTAAATGTGCAAACCAGTATGGGTGATGGATCGGACTCGCCTGAGCTTCTGCACTCTCGCCATACTGCCACTATTACTTCTATGGCGTACAATCACGGCAAGGATATGGCTGGATTTCAGTTCGCCTGGCTGCGGAGACTTAAATTACACCCACGGGAGCAGTTTTTTTTGGTGGCGTCTGTTCCGGGATGCGCTGCCTACGATGGAGTGGCTGTTTCGCCGTGGCCTTACTGACTCTCGGAGCTGCCCCTAGGGATGCCTTCAGCCGGAAACACTGGAGCATGTGACTGCACATTGTGCCAATCTCGCCGCTTCTCTTTCGGTGCTCGCCAGATGGGGATTTCATATGCCGCCCGTTAACTCGTGGTCTGAATTATTGAGGATGCTTGAGCTTGCTGCTCGGGACAATGCTACCCATGGGAGACTCTACTGTTACACGGTTTATCAAGTCTAGCGTGCTCATAACGATAAACTGCACGGTCGCTCATGCTGCATGTCGTTGGCCATTGCGGCCAATGCTTTGTCTATGCTGCCGAAAACTTGTTCTTCGCTAGTTTTGGAGCAATGGTGTACCTCTCAGTCCACTGGACTACCTTCCTACAAGCTTTGGTGCACCCCCCCTCCGGGATGGGTAAAGTTCAATGTGGACGCCTAGCTGCAGCCATCGGGGATGGCGGGATTGGGCATTGTGGCTCGGGACGCTAATGGCCGGCTTGTGGTGGCAGTTGGTAAGCAAGTCGAGCATTGGGATGTTACCAATGCGGAGATTATGGCGGTGCTAGCGGTGTAGGATGCGATCCGTGATTGGATGATGCATTTGGACGGCATTATCATTGAGGGCGATTGCCTCCCGGCGATCAAATGGCTCCAATCTATGTTCAATTACAAATACAAAGATCACTGGCAGACGTCGGGTCCGGATTTGTCGTTCTTGCTTGACTTCAAGCAAGTGCTGTTTCACCACATACCGCGGGCTAGTAATAGGCCGGCTGATTTTTGTGCGCACTTGGCCAAGTTTGGCAATTTTATGTGGACTGACTGTGATGATAGAAATGTACATCCCTCCTTTGTTTCTATGATTAGGGAGGATAGTGATAGGGCGTAGGCCCTAACTTTTGTAACTCTTATATTTTCCTTATTTTCTAATGCTTAATGCAAATTTCAAGGAACCCAAAATCTTTTGAGGTTCTTCATTTCTTGCCAAGTGTTTCTCTCACTAGGGTGTTTTAGAGAGAGAAGGTCTGGGGAATGGTGGGGGGGACATGCGGTCTCCTCCCCGCTCCGGCAGGGGCGGTGGTGAAGGATCGGTGGAAGGTGGTGGACGGGAGCGACGGCGGTCTGGAGTTGGTTCAGGCGGCGGAAGGAAGGGGAATGACGTGAACTCGCCGATTAAGGTGGGTGGGGGAAAGCATTCGGGTAAGGGTGCTGGCAAGCCTTCGGGTGATGGAGGGATTGCTGCCACACGCGGGGGCAAGACCGTTGAAGAAGCTGCTGCTGGCTTTGGGTTGGCGGACATGATGCAGACGGAGGAGATGCAAAGTTCGGCCAATGCTGTCTTCGAAGATGCGGCAATGGAATTTGAGCTCGTCTTGGAGCGTGTTTCGGCCGCCGCGAGTGCGGAAGCTGCTGCGGCAGCAAGGAAGGCTGCGATGTACTCGGCGCCGGGTTTGCGGGCTGAGGAACCTGTTGAGGGTGGTGTGGATATGGATTCGACTTGGGGAATGCCCAGAGATGGTCTGAGTAGAAACCTGCAGCTAGGTGTGAACGTCCCCAATCCTGGAGGCTGCGATGGCTCGGCTCCGGAAACACGCCCACAGGGTGTTTGTGCTAATGCCGCTATTAGGCTGAACGGTGGAATCTTTGGGGGGCCTGCTGCTGCCCGCCCACAAACTATGCAGAATAATGTTTGGAAGCGCCCAGAACATATTCGAGTCACCAAAAGGGTGAAGAGGGGACAATTTTCAGCTGATGGGGTTATGGTTGACCTCCAATTGGATGTGGTGGAGCGGAGCATCAACCTTCTTGAGAATGCCGTTGTGGGCAAAATATTGGGTCGGCGACTGCCTTTCTTTGTGTTGGAAGCGGAGGTTCGGAGACAGTGGGGTCGTTTTGGTGACTTCCAACTTTCAACTATTGGCGTTGATTGCTTTGCATGTACTTTTGCCTCCTCTGAAGCCAGGGATGCGGTTCTATGTGGGGGACCATGGTTTTTCAGTGGAAATATTGTTGGCCTTGACCGGTGGACTCCGGATTTCTCCCCTAGCTCGTTGGAAGGACTTTCCTCGCCGGTGTGGATCCGGTTACTGCAATTACCGCTACAATACTGGGATCAGTAAACTCTCATTCGCATTGCTTCCATGATTGGGGAGCCTTTGTGGATCGATGCCCAAACGGGCAATGTTGGACGGAGGGAGTATGCTCGCGTGTGTGTCAAGCTGGACCTCGCTAGGAAACTCCAATCTGGAATTTGGATTAATGGTTGGAAAGGTCGGTTTCACCAACGTGTGGAATATGAAGGCCTTGGGCTCTCTTTCTTCGAATGTGGGCGTGTGGGACATAGAAAGGAGCACTGCCCCTCACGGGTGGGGGCCGGAAATACTACCCCAGGAGGTGCTAAAACTGGGGCTACGTCGGGAAAATCTCCAGCCTCGGGAGGAGGCTCATCCGCTTGCAATAGCAATTCGAAGCAGGCTATAGGAGATACGCCGACTGTCGGGGTGGTCACACCGTGCCCCAATTCCAACTTGTCCACCACGGGTAAGTTCACGGGGGCGGCAAGCGCTGGAGATGCTAGACAATCGTCATCACGAGCCCTGAATCTTGGTTCGTGCTCTCCGGAGGTGCCCATTGCTACGGAGGATGACAGCCTGTATGGCCCATGGAACATTGTTCCACCAAGAAAGGGTAGGAGACCGGTGAAGAAAAACCAAGCGGAAGAGAAAATGCCTCTTGGTGAAAACATTCCCAGGCAGATTGATTTGGCGAAAATCAAGGAGCCAAAGGTGAGACGGATGAAGGAGAATTTCCATCCTAATCGGGGGGGTAAGAAATCGAGGCTTACGGAGCCTCTCTTGTTCTCGGCGGGTATTCGATCGGTGGAAACCAGGCCGGCGAGACCCAAGCTCGGAGCTTCCAAAGCTCATTTTGATAAAGAATTGAAGGCATTGGGGCCGATAGAGGCCCCGAGGAAGTGCAGAAAAGATAGCAGCTCACCTTTAAGCGGAGGGGACGCTTCCCCTATGGTTAATTAATGCCTTCAATTTTATTCTGGAATTGCAGGGGGTTCGCAAGAAGTTGACGAGCCACTTCCTGAGACACCTCATTGTTGATAATGAGGTCTTGTTTGTTGGGCTGACCGAAACTAAGGTGGAAACCTTTGAACATGCGGATGTTGATCGCCTTGTGGGGCATGGATGGGACTTCTTTCACCAACCGGCTGTGGGCAAGTCTGGAGGTCTCTTGGCTATTTGGAGACGGGAAGTCATTAAGTTTGATGTGGCGGCGGCCACGGAACAATGCTTAATGGGGAGGGCAACTTTGCCTAACCTGCAGACTTGGAAGGTGGCCCTGGTTTACGCCAATAAGGATCACCTGATTCGTAGACAATTGTGGGAGGCCATCACGTCCAGCTTGCCGGGGGACGGGCCACTCATTATTGGCGGAGATTTCAACTGCTGTCTCTCGCAGGAGGAGAAAAAGGGAGGTAAACGTTTCAGATTTTCTGTCGGGGCTCAGGAAATGCTGGATTTTATGAATAATGCGGACCTCGATGATCTCGGGTTCTCTGGACCTAAATTCACTTGGTCGAATAACAAGGATGGTAACAGTCGCATTTGGGTTCGGCTGGACCGATTCCTTATGAATTCGGAGAGGCTGGGTTTGGCCCCCTTTGCTACCGTTAGGCACCTGAATAGATTGGTGTCGGATCATTGCCCGATGGTTTTTGATTTGGGTGGGACGGGTGCTGCTGCGAGCTTTCAGTGGATGCGGTTTGAGGATGTTTGGATGAGTTATCCAGCCTCTTGGAGAGTTGTGGCCAATGCATGGAGTAAGCTGAACTTCGGGTACCCTGCGGACGTGGTAAACCGTCAATGCAGGCGTACGTTAAAGGCTTTGGTTTTTTGGAGCAAGCACCGAATCCGTGACCTTGGGGAGCAGAAAAACTCACTGGAGAGGCGTATCGCGGCTCTCCAACAGTTGGACTGCTCGGATGAGGGGCTGAATTCAGAGCAAGAGGAGGAATTATGTCGTGTGGTGGGAGAATTCCATGCAATTTTGAGTAGGATGGCGACGTGGTGGGGACAACATGAAAATGTTAGGTGGATTGAGGAAGGCGATGCCAATTCACATTTTTTCCATGCCGTGGCCACGGCCAGAAGACGTTCCAACCGGGTTTTGGAACTCCGTAAGGCTGACGGGACTATGCTCAATGAGCCGGGCTTGATCCAGAATTAGTTATGGAGCTTCTTCTCGAACAAGTGGAGGGCACGTATTACGAACACGAGCAGATGGCCGGAGTTTCCTGAGGAGGCGCAGATTTCGGCTGCGACGGCGGGATGGCAATAATCGTGCCCCCGGGATGGATGGTATCACTTCCTCTTTCCTAAAATTTTACTGGCTTATTGTTAAAGATGACATTTGCAGTGCTATTCAAAGCTTCTTTCAACAAGGCTTGATGTGCCCGAGCTGGAAGGAGACGCTCGTGATCCTGATTCCCAAAGTGGAGAATGCTTCGACCCCGGCTCAGTTCCGTCCAATTTGCCAATCACTCTATAAGTTGGTGGCCCGTATTTTGATGAATCGCCTTAAGCCCATCTTGCCGGGCCTGGTTGGGGAGGAGCAGGGTGCCTTTGTATCGGGCCACTCTATTGCTAGCCATGGGCTATTAGCACAGGAGATGATGTGCAAATTCCAGTATTCAACGATGCTTTCTGGCCTTATATCTCTTAAGGTCGATATGGAGCAAGCATATGACTGTATGTCATGGGAGACGCTCGAACGTGCAATGGAGGCGATGGGGTTCTCCGTTCGCTTCATTCTGTGGGTCATGGTGTGCATCTGTAGACCCAGGTTTGCTTTTATTCTCAATGGGAATCGGTCGCAATGGATTAATGCTTGCAGTGGTCTTCGGCAAGGTTTCCCGTTGTCGCCGTACCTATTTATCTTATGTTCTGAACTATTTACCAAGGCTTTTAATCAGTTTGGACATCACCTAGGCGTTCAAATCATTCCTAATGGGGAAAGGGTGTCCCATCTTCTTTACACGGACGACATTTTGATTTTTGCGGAGGCTAGCTTGGCCAATGCAAAACTTATTCATAGAATTCTGTTGGACTACTGCGGCTGGACAGGGCAGAAAGTCAATCATAGTACGTCGGCAATCCTGTTTAATAAGAAGTGCCCCCTGTGGAAATGCTGTCAAATTGCATGGCTTACTTGCTTTAATATGGTATCTTCTCTTGACTACCTCTGCCTCTCTCTAGTTATGAGAAGATTGACCAACTCGGACTTTTCTAAGATTGTCCAAAAGGCGGCGACCAAAGTCAATGTATGGGGTAAGCGCCATCTCTCGTTGGCGGGTCGTGCTACTCTGATCAGAACCTCATTGCTTGCCATCCCGATGTATTGTATGACCCTCACGGGTATCCCGAGAGGTAGCTTGGAGTTGATTGAAAAGATCGGGAGGCAATTCATGTGGAGAAAAGATTTTAATAAGAACTGACTGCACTATGTGGCCTGGACCAAACTCTGTAAGCCGATTGAGCAGGGTGGTTTGGGATTCCACTCGGCTTTGGTGTGGCAAGGACCACTTCGGGCACGGCTGGCCTTGAATTTTATCCAACACCCCAACTTGCTGCTGCACTGTTTGTTAAGAGCGAAGTATGGGGATGATCCTTGGCGGGTTTGGCCGGGCCGCAATGTTTCCATTTCCTGGAAAATTCTTAACGACGGGGCGACGGCGCTGCGACCAATTCTGCGATGGAAAATTGGCAACGGGCAGCAAGTTGACATCCTTACCGACACCTGGATCCTTGACCGCAGCCTATTTTTGGCCGGCTTTTGTAGATATCGGGCACCTTGAAAACTGCAAGATTAGCCATCTCCTTAACTCGGATGGTGGTTGGAATACTGATATGGTTCGCACCAGCTTTGGGGAACTTATGGCTTCTCGGATTATGACCATCCCAATCAGGCATGGTGGTGTGAAAGACTTGTCGGAACTCATTAGACCGTGGACTGGACGATCTGTGACCGCATTGGCTTATGATGCCATTGTTGGCCAACCCTGCTACCCGTTTGGTTGGATAAAAAAGCTCAAACTACACCCCCGGGAGCGTCTTTTTTGGTGGCGACTGCTTCGGGACGCTATTCCCACCAACTCTTGGCTTAGACGACGATGTCTGACTGATTGTAGTCGATGCCCGTGGGGCTGTACTGCTGATGAGGATATTGAACATTGTACTATTCATTGCAATCAGCTCAAGCTCATTCTTGAGCAACTTGGGCGTTGGGGGTTCGGGTTCCCGGTCACTCGTTCCTTGGAGGAGCTGCTCGGTAACCTTCACCGTCTTGTTGGGCGCAACCCGGCTATTGGAAGATTGTATTGCTCTGCGGTTTACCAGGCCTGGCGGGCATGTAACAACAAAAAGCATGGCCGGTCTTAGGGTTCCCCGACGGTGCTGGCTGCTACGATTTTTGGTGCGATGCCGAAGCCTCATCTGATGCCATTCATGGAGCAATGGCGCATCAATCAGCCCATTGGGCTGCCTGTTCACAAGCAATGGTGCGTCCCCCTCCTAATTGGTTGAAAATGAACGTTGATGCCTCTCTCCTACCGTCCAACCGTGCTGGCTTGGGCCTTGTGATCCGTGACCATGAAGGAAAACTTGTGCTGGCCGTTGGGCATCATATTGAGCACTGGGATGCAAATTTTGTTGAATTACTTGTGGCTCAGGCGATGAAAGATGTAATAGAAGACTGGATGTTCGATTGTACTGTCATTATAATTGAGGGAGATTGCTCTAAGGTTATTGTGTGGCTACAGCAGTTGCGCGACCACCGCTACAAAATCCACCGTGAAATTGCAGATGTGGTCCTCTCCTTTTTGGGCTACTTCAATCAAGTGCTGTTCAACTATGTACCTAGGCAGAGTAATAGGCCTGCCGATTTATGTGCCCGCTATGCATTAGATAGATCTTTTATTTGGAAATTTGTTAGTGATTCTGACGTACCTGACGCTTTCACCTCGCTGTTGAGGGAGGAAAGCAACCGTGTATAGTCTGTTGCCTTGTACTTTTTCTTCTTCCTTTATCTAATGCCAATGCAACTTTCAAGGAACCCAAAATCTTTTTGGCCCGTATCACAATTTGGTGGCGGCAACGGGCGAAGGTCAGATGGATGGAAGAAGGCGACGCCAACACCCATTTTTTTCATGTCACGGCCTCCAGTCGTAGGCGTGATAATCGCATTCTTTCTACCCAAGTGGTGGGGGAATTTTTGGCTTTCTTTCGTGCCAAATGGCGTGAACGACAAGACGATCTGGGTTGCTGGCCGACCTTCCATGCCGATAGGCAAGTGCTGACTGATCTTGCCTCTAGTTTGGTGGCTGATGTTACTGACGACAAAATCCGTTCAGCAGTGTTCTCGATGGGAAATAATAGAGCCCCGGGGAAGGATGGGGTTACTTCCTCTTTCCCAAAATTCTATTGGGAAATCATCAAAACTGATGTATTGGCTGCGGTCCATAATTTTTTCCTTACCTGCACTATGAACGCCAACTGGAAGGAAACTCTTGTTATCTTAATTCCCAAGGTTGAGAACGCTTGCTCGCCCTCCAAGTTCCGTCCGAACAGCCTTTGCCAAGCCCTCTACAAGGTGACGGCCAAAATTCTTGTCGGGAGAATGAAGCCGATTCTTATGGCTCTTATTGGTGAAGAGCAAGGTGCTTTCATTCCTGGCCGATCCATTTCCAATCATGGCCTTATTGCGCAAGAGCTTATGTGCACTTTTCGATATACTACCAAGAAGGGTGGGCTTATGGCACTTAAAGTCGACATGGAGCAAGCCTACGATTGCATGTCATGGGACACACTTCAACAAGTGATGGATTGCATGGGCTTCCCGCCAAGATTCACGAGATGGGTAATTCAATGTATTTCTTTCCCTAAATTTCAATTGCTTATCAATGGCTGCAGGACGGAATGGATTGACGGGCGGTGCGGCTTCCGGCAGGGCTGTCCCTTGTCGCCTTATTTATTCATCTTATGCTCGGAGCTCCTTACAAAGGCCTTCACTCAACACGGAGAGACGCTTGGGTTGCGGGTTGGCCGTAATGCCCCTTGCATTATACACCTTCTCTACGCCGACGACATCCTAATCTTTGCGGAGGCTAGCGGCATGAATGCTAGAAAGATCAAGGATATTCTTGCAGCCTACTGCAATTGGAGTGGCCAATGCATTAATAATGCAAAATAGGCAATCCTTTTCAGCAAAAAGACCCCGATGTGGAAACAACGCAGAATTGCTAATGACCTGGGCTTTCGGCGAGTTCGAACCCTTGAGTATCTCGGCTTGCTGCTTGCCATGAGGAAACTCATTGCGTCTGACTTTTCTAAGATACTTCAAAACGTCACTAAGAAGACCAACACTTGGGGTAAGCGGCATCTCTCTATGGCTGGAAGGACCACTCTGATCCGCACTTCTTTTCTCTCGACGGCCATGTATCTTATGACCCATTCGCTGGTCCCGAAGGGTATCTTGTAAAATATCGAGAGGGTGGCTAGACGGTTTCTTTGGCAAAAGAATTCTAATAAAAAAGGGCTTCATTATGTAAGCTGGACCGATTTATGTCATCCGACTATTATGGGAGGCCTGGGCTTTCATGCTTCTCTGAATTGGCAAGGCCCCCTTCGCGCACGGCTAGCTTGGGGAATTATGCAGGATAAGGAGTCTCTTTTGAGCCGTATAGTTTTTGCTAAATATGGCGACAATCTTTGGGAAAGTATTACTGGATGGAATATTTCTAACACTTGGAAAATCTTATGCGATGGAGCTGCTGCTCTCCGTCCCATTTTACGGTGGGAGGTTGGTGATGGCAGCCACATTGATGCGCTCAACGATATCTGGATTAAGAATCATGATTTGGCACATTGGCCTTCGTTTGAGGATATTGAGGCCCTTGAGGGACAGACGGTCCAATGGCTGCTGGATGATAACTCCGGATGGAGACGGGACTGCCTTATTGAGGTCTTCGGAGACGCTTTGGCTCAGTACATTTCCAGCATCCAGACTAATGTGGGGGATGGCACAGACCGCCCCGAACTTATTCACTCCCCGCTTAGCTCCACGATCACTGCTATGGCCTACAAGGCCGGATTCCAGCCGGTTACTTATCAATTTTATTGGTTTCGCAAATTCAAGCTCCACCCTCGCGAACACTTCTTTTGGTGGCGTCTTACCCATGATGCCATTCCAACACGCTGTTGGTTACATCGCCGGAACCTTGCCGATGATAGGGACTGCCCTTGGGGCTGTAATGTGGACGAATCCCGTGAACATGTCACGATCCACTGTGATATGCTGAAACTTATTTTCACTGTTATTGCTAAATGGGGCTTCACTTTGCCCGATTTTCAATCCTGGGATGATCTTGTTGGAGGTCTTCACCGTCTAGCCTCCGACAATCTGAGCCTTGGCCGCCTATACAGCTACTTGATCTATCAAACATGGAGAGCCCGCAATGACAAGATTCATGGGAGACCGTTCTGCACGCCGTCTGTTATTACTGCTAATGCCCTGGCTATGTTGCCTAAACCATATTCTATGTCCGTCTTGGTGCAGTGGTGTACCTCTCAGCCCATTGGGCTGCCTCTAAACAAACTTTGGTGCACCCCCCATCTCGGTTGGGTGAAGTTTAATGTGGATGCTTCAATCCAGGAGTCAGCGGTTACTGGACTTGGTGTGATCGTTCGGGATCATTTGGGACGGCTCATTGTGGCTGCAGGAACCAAGGTGGAACAGTGGGATATTACTAATGCTGAAATTATGGCGGCGCTTTCTGTCAAGGACACGATCGAGCAGTGGATGCTGGACCTTGAGTGGATCATTATCGAGGGGGATTGCCGCAATGTTATTGGATGGCTTCACTCCATCTTCAACCGCCGTAACCGTGCTCATCTCACTGCCGAGGGACCGGATCTCACCTTCTTACTGAACTTCAAGCAAGTCCTCTTCCACTACATCCCACGGCCAAGCAATAGGCCGGCCGACTACTGTGCACGCCTGGCTTGTTTTGGAAACTTTTTATGGAAAAATGATGATATTGATGTAATTCCTCTCTCTCTCTTTTGTCTCTTTTGAGAGAGGATAGTGATAGAGCTTAGCTTCCTTCTTTGATGTACTTTTTATGTTTCCCTTTTTAATGCAAAATGCAACAATTCAAGGAACCCAAAATCTTTTGCCCGGAACCCAAAAACTTTGGGAGGATCTTCATTTCTTTCCACTCCTTTCTCTCACTAGAGTGTTTCCTAGAGAGAGAAGCTCTGGGAATGGCGGGGGGGGGACAGGAAGTTTCCTCCTTGCTCCGGCGGGGGTGGCGGTGGAGATGGTTCAGGAGGTGGTGGCCACAGAGATAGAAGGCGGTCGGGCATTGGCTCTGGCGGTGGGAAGAAGTATGTGGAGGTGCGGTCTCCTTCGAAGGGGGAGCGGATGGGCCGAACAAGGTTGGAGGCAAGGGTGCAACGTCCAGCAAAGCTGGCGGAGAGGAGCTTCCCGGGAGCTCCAAAGGGGCTAAGGCCACGGGTGGTGTTGCTGGAAGCAACCAGGGCGCCGCGCGCGCGGGAGGTCTGTTGCCTAAAGCGACGCGGGAGGCTAGCCGTGTGGCTGCGGGACTTAAGATACCAGGACGGGAGGCGGAACTGCACATTAAGGCCAACCCCACGTTTGAGGAGAAGGACACGGCTATGGAATTCGAGCAAGCCATGGAGCGCGTTATGCGTGCGGCGACTGCTGAGGCTGCTGCGGCGGCCAGGAAATGCGCGGTGAACCTGCCTAGCAGTATGGAAACCCTCGGTTACATGGCGGGGGCGGCTGATTCTGCGGATGATATGAATCAAGGTATGGAAGATTGCCCGGATAGCTTTGCCGAGCAGTTGCAAGTTGGAATGGGAGATGTTGAAATGAATGCTGGGTCGGATGTGCCGACTTTGAACGGCAATATGCCGCTTGCTGCAGGTGTGGACCTTCCCGATCGGAATGGCGGCGGGATGCAACATGAAGAAATGCACCCGCAAGGCGTTTGTGGAAATGCCTCCAAGGAGGCTGCAGGCAGGATCTTTGGACCGGCTGTGCCGGCTCCCAAACAGTTTAATCCCACCAATGCATGGAAAAAACCTGAGCACATTAAAGTCACAGAACCAGTGAAACGTGGGCAATTTTCTATGGATGGTGTGACGGTGCAGCTCCATCTTGATACCGTTGAGCGGAACATCAACCTCCTGGGGAATGCCGTTGTTGGCAAGATTATCGGACGGCGTCTACCATTCTTTGTCTTGGAAGCTGAAGTCCGGCGACAATGGGGCAGGTTCGGTGAATTCCAATTATCCACCATTGGAGTGGATTGCTTTGCTTGTACATTCACTTCTATGGAGGCAAGAGATGCGATCTTATGCGGGGGACTGTGGTTCTTTAGCAGTAACATCGTGCGACTTGATCGGTGGACACCGGAATTTCTCCGAACTCTCTCGATGGTCTTACCTCCCCTATTTGGATCCAGCTCCCACAGCTGCCTCTCCAGTACTGGGACCAACATAATATCATTCGTATTGCTTCGATGGTGGGTGAACCACTATGGATTGATGCACAAACCAGTGCCGCGGGGCGTCGTGAATACGCCCGTGTGTGCGTCAAGATGGACCTTGTGAGGAAACTCCAGAGCGGTATCTGGGTTGATGGCAGGAGAGGCCGTTTCTTCCAACGGTTGAAATATGAAGGACTGGGATTGTCTTGCTTTGAATGCGGCAAGGTGGGTCACCGCAAGGAATTTTGTCCAACCCGAAAGGGTGCTGAACCATCCTCCCTCTCTAACGGCACGCCATCTATGGCAAGCAGCAGTAAAACCGTGGCAGCGACTGTGAACACCTCTATTGGCAATGGCAAGTCCCCCGACATGCTTGGCTCCTCTACTGTCGGCACCATTACTCCTAGGCCTGGAAGTGGCATTTCGGAGTTGATCAAACCCAGCGCTCCTGAGAAGGTGAATAATATTGGGCAATTGGGTTC